TGTGCGAGTCGTAATCTAGAAACTAATTATATTTGTCAAACTATAGGAGTTATAAATTTTAAAATCAAAAGTATTTACCACAATGCATATAAGCATAGCACGTAAGCAAAACTATAACTCACGAAATCGCGACATGTAAAGTAATGTGTTAAAATTTAAAATTAATTTAAAAAATAGAAATAAATATGGAAAGTAATTTTCAAGTTACTAATGAAATAACAAAAAGTAAAATTTCTAATAATTCATACTAATTAAGAAACAAATATAGACATGACATAAGCCATAGAAGAAATAAATCGCTTATATATTAATTGGAGAGTGATTTTTCCAAAACAGCTTAGGTATCTTCACCAAAATCACTCTTACAATTTTAATGTGACATGGCATCCTTTAAAATATGACATGGCATTCTCTCTGCTGAGAATGATGGCTCTATTGATAAAGTTAAGAAGTGATCTCTTATTGCTTATATATTAATTGGAGAGTGATTGTTCCAAAACATCTTAGGTGTCTTCACCAAAAMCACTCTCCCAATTTTAATGTGAGATGACATCCCTTAAAATATGACATTGCATTCTCTCTGATGAGAATGATGGCTCTATTGATAAAGTTAAGAAGTGATTATCAAAAAATAATCTCATGGAATAGAAGATTATTTTTATATGCTTTTTTCGATTATTTGATTAGGGATTTTATTTATTGTTATTTTTAAAAATAATTTCTTTTTGGATTTTAATGGATCTTACTTTATTTCCAAAAAAGTCTATTCAACCAAAAAGATCAATTAAATAAATTGATTACATTTCGTTTCGGTCCAAATGTAAATTTATGTATCATCAACTCCAAAATTAAAAGTATGACACTCTTTAGTAAAATCTACACAAGATTAATCTGACGTTTACAATATTATGGAAATCATTATCTCCACAAATTTGCCTATCCGAAATTTAAGAATATCTCAGAAATAAAATTTATGAGCAACTACAAATTTAAAAGTGTGGAATTTGGCTGCTCTGAAATTTATGATCAATTCTAATTTTTAAATATGAAAATCTTTGATAATTGGAAATTTTGAAAGCTTTCAATAAAAAAAATTAACATGTTCGATATCTAATTAATAATGGACTTACACTCCACCCAATTGGTTAACCAATTGTAGGGGCATATTTTAAATATAAGAGTAATAGGCATGTATATTACTCTTATTAGATGAAATTGAGTATTTAATATAATCTAATTACTAATTAAGTGTCTAACAATGGGTATACTTGAAATTCCAAAAGTAACCTTATTTTTTTATCTATGTTTTTTAGATTTTTCCTTTTCTATTTTTACAC